TGATCTGAAACATTAAAGTGTGACAAACATGCAAAAAAATAAGAAATCAGGAAGGGGGCAAAAACTTTTTCACACCACTGTATATAGCACTTCCCATGTCGTTATGAAACATATTTCTACATAGGGCATATTGCTTGAATTTTACTATCTCGTGAAGGGATGTTCACAAGGTGGCATGGGACAGGTGGCTGGTAGATAGTGTTTCATATTCTTTATTTACACATATCAGCCCTTTATCAGGAATAAGACCTTACAATGTTCTCAGTGACAATAACAAAAGTCTGTCTGTGTAACAAGAAAAATAAATGCACCTCGTAGAGTTAATCATATCTGTTTGCTATGGTGACGCTTTATACTAATTTGTCACTGGCATTCTTTTAAAATAACACACATCATAATTTTTCAGAACTTTTCTAACACACTATAGACAAACTGGAACAGTGCCCCGAACACGTCCCGTAAAATGATGTCAGAACTAAAGAAGCCCTTTTGTGTCATGCCATCTTAGTTTAGGATTAAATTACTGTTGTTTTTGTAATGAAAGAATAAAGATGAAGCATATTTGTCCCACTTTAACCTGCATCCACCCTTTAAATTGTTTAAATAACAACAATAGTAACTGATTGCATGTGCAATATAATGATTTTTGCCCTCTCTTCTCGATTTTAGATAAGACTGTGCAACCACTACAAATTCTGAATTAAAGGCCAGTCTAGCATTGTGAAGATGCCAAAGCCAGCAGAAGGAACAGGCGGTAAGTTAAAATCATGACAATCATGGTATGCCAAATGACAAAATTCTTAAAACCATCTGAATAATTTATTTTAGATTTGCTTTGTTCCATCACCCATGGCCTTATTCTTAATCGAGCAGTTAGTAGATGTGAGGATCAGGAAGTGTTCATGATCAAGGCTGTGATTAAACATCGCCATCATGTGGTCAACAACAAATCCACAGCTTCAAACTCTGAAGATCATGAGACATAAATAGTCCATTTCATATTTGACGGCCATGTTCCTGTATAGTTTCAGGAAAACATATTCCATTGTTTTACAGAACTGAACATCATGGAATGATACGTTTTTGAATACACTGTTTTGATATTTCAGTGGGCAACCACTACAAATTCTGAATTAAAGGCCAGTCTAGCATTGTGAAGATGCCAAAGCCAGCAGAAGGAACAGGCGGTAAGTTAAAATCATGACAATCATGGTATGCCAAATGACAAAATTCTTAAAACCATCTGAATAATTTATTTTAGATTTGCTTTGTTCCATCACCCATGGCCTTATTCTTAATCGAGCAGTTAGTAGATGTGAGGATCAGGAAGTGTTCATGATCAAGGCTGTGATTAAACATCGCCATCATGTGGTCAACAACAAATCCACAGCTTCAAACTCTGAAGATCATGAGACATAAATACTCCATTTCATATTTGACGGCCATGTTCCTGTATAGTTTCAGCAAAACATATTCCATTGTTTTACAGAACTGAACATCATGGAATGATACGTGTTTGAATACACTGTTTTGATATTTCAGTGGCAATTAGGAAGAGATCCAGAGTGCCTGGTGTTATGGTCACACAATACATTGAAGAACTGCCACCTGGATCTACTACTCCCGATTTCATCCGAAAACCCATAGCCTTAACTATACAGGAAGGTAATAGTTTTCTTACTTTTTTTTTTTCATATGGCTCATTTGGATCATAGAATTTCAGCAATATAAATTCATTTAAATGGAAAAACATCCATCTGTCCTCGATCATAATATTTAACATCACAACTAACTATTCTGTTTAATCTTCAGGCAAACTGGCCTTTTTCAAAGCTGTTGTGAGTGGATATCCAGTACCAGATGTTTCATGGGCACGTAACAAGGGAGATATCTCTAATTCAACAAAATATGTTTCACGATTTGATGAGAAGAATGAAGAATATATTCTGGAGGTGAATGACATTTTCAACTGTGTGAAGAACCATGTTATCAGCCGTTTAATTTTCATTCTACATGTTTAAACAATATTAATAAATATTGGTATATTGGTAATATAAATTCTAAATAAATTATGATATATATAAAATAATAAATACATTTTTTTTAATGTAATTTATTTATAATCCAATTGTTTTTCTTTAACAACATTTGATATGGCTTTTGTTTCCATTCTACAGATACCAAATGTAGATTCGGATCAAGCAGACACATACAAATGTTTTGCTATAAATCCATTTGGAAAGGCGGTTTGTACTGCTGCACTGAATGTCATTGAGGGTAGGAAATTCATAAAGTGCATTTGAATATATTGATCTATTACTGATTAAAATAAAAATGCTATATCACATATAGGCCTAAATCAATCTGTTTCTCTTCTTTTCAGTTGGATTCAAGAAAAGAGCGCCAGGTATTTATGTAACTCAAAGCTAATGACACCTCAAATGAAATAAACTGTATTGGAAAATCTTATGATTGTTAAAGAGCATTCAGAGTGTCAAAATAACTTTTAAAAATGTCTTTAAAAAAATTTTCAGCCCCCAAAAGTGACCCTGATGAGTTCAGAAAAATGCTGAAGAAAACGTAACGTATCATTGCATCATATATTTACCTTCACCATACCTTTTATATGTTAGTATTTACTTGTATAGAGACATAGAAAACCATAATGATGGGACATTTCTAAGTAACCAAAACAACCAGTCTGATCTGTAATCATACTAAATACATTTAGGGTTGGGAAGAGAAAAGAAAAACAATGGAATGAAGGAGAAATCGATCCGAGGTTCTGGGAGGTGTTACTGAGTGCACCCAGGAAAGATTATGAACGGATTTGTCAGGAATTTGGAGTCACCGACTTCAGGTGGATGCTGAGAAAACTTAACCAGAAGAAAAAGGAAAGAGAGGCAGAACAATCCAAGGTCTTGTTTGCTTTGAGTATCATACTAATTTCTGCACCACTGTTTTTTATACACATACAGTATGAAAAAAAATCTCCACTCTTGATTTTTCTGTCTTCAAGTATGTTGAGAAAATCCACAGCTTGAAACAGATCGAGGTAAAAACGGATGGCACAGCGGAATTTGAACTCGACATGAAGTTAAAGGATCCTAACAGCAAAATCCTTCTCTTCAAAGTAAGTGCCCTCACTTAAACAGCCTCAGTGTCATCAACAATACTGCTTTGAGAGTAATGAACTTCAATTTACTATTACCAGGATGGGGAAATGCTTGACTATGGAGATGGAACTGATGAGGCCACAAAACATAATATGCAGAAATTTGGTGAAACATACTTGTTCAGCATTAGAGATGTTGGCTCAGAAGATGCTGGGTTATATCAAGTGGATGTAGAGGAGGTGAACATGTTCTCAACTTCCCTAGTGTGTAAGTAGTTATAATATCAATGCTTTTTATGTTTGTTTGTTTGTTTGTTTAAGATATTAGAAGTAACTAATTATTATTATATTAAATGTTACAGTATTGCTATTAGGCAACATGCCATATTTGAAGGTTAAAGAACAGGCTAGTGAAGTTGTGCAGTGAAAATGTGATTTTTCATTTCATTTTTACTTGTTATCCATAAATGTTCAAGAATTGTTTTATGCCTCCAGTGCCTGATGTGGAGTTAAATACTACACTGAAAGACATTAAAGTGATTGAGGGGCAGGATGCGGTGTTTGAATGTGCCTTATCGGACCCAGTACCCCAAATCACCTGGTGTGCTAATGACATCTCTGTTGAGCATGGGGAAAAATATGACATTGCAGTGTCAGAAGACAAGCAAGTCCACAAACTAGCAGTGAAAAACTGTACAAAAGAGGACAAGGGAGTCTATACGGCTATTGCTGGGCTCAGGTCAAGCCAGGGGACTCTGGATGTGGAAGGTAAGTTGCTTTATTTTCTCTCTTAGGTGAATTGTGTTTACATGCACTTTAAATGCATATACACTACCGGTCAAACGTTTGGAATGATTAAGAATTTTTTTATGTTTTTGGAAGACCAAGGCTGCATGTATTTGATCAAAAAGACATTTAGCTCTGCTATCAAAGGAATGAATTAGATTTTTAAATAAATTAAAATAGAAAGCAGTTCTTTTAAATTGTAATAATAGTTCACAATTTTACTGTTTGCATTATATTTTCATCAACTAAATGCAGCCTTGATGAACATAACAGACTTCTTTTGAAAACATCTTAATTATTTCAAACTTTTGACCACTAGTGTACATATATGGACCCTGGTGAAACAACACTTAATTTCCCAGAATACACTCATTTATCACACTATGTTCAAAGTGGAGCCAAACAAAATCAAGCAGGCTTACAAGATGGAAACACAAAACACCCAAAATTGCCAATTTTACAATACTGAATTTTGTCTGATCACTGTATATCACTTAAAGTATATACTGTAACTGATACTGATTTCAGATGATCCCAGTGCCCACGGGAAAGATGATGGTGCAGATGAACTAGCCAGACGTTTAGCGGAAGAGAAAGCCAGACTGCAGAGGGAAAAGGACGAGGCGGCCAGGAGGGCACAGGCTGAAAAAGATGAAGCAGCGAGGAAGGCCCAGGCTGAAAAAGATGAAGCAGCCAGGAAGGCCCAGGCTGAAAGAGATGAGGCAGCGAGGAAGGCCCAGGCTGAAAAAGATGAAGCGGCCAGGAGGGCCCAGTCTGAAAGAGATGAGGCAGCCAGAAGGGTTCAGGCCGAACAAGATGAGGTGGCTAGGAGGGCAAAGGCCGAGCGAGATGAGGCAGCCAGAAAAGCTTGGGAAGAACTAGATGAGGCGGCCAGGAGGGCCCAAGCTGAAAGAGATGAGGCGGCCTGTAGAGCCCAAGCTGAAAGAGATGAGGCAGCCAGGAAGGCCAAGGCCGAGAGAGAAGCTGCTGAAAGGATGGCAGCTATGGCAGCAGGAAAAGGCAGTGGAGGATCTAGCCTGGGAGATGGGAGTGAGGGTGATGGAACGGGGAAGAACGGAAAAGGAGGAGATGGTACCTTGGTAAATGGGTTAGGAGATGGGAGTGGAAGTCATGGAAAAGGTGATGGATTGGATTTAGATGGATCAGGTGGAGACGGGTCAGGTGATAAGAAGCGTACAAGAGTCGGTGAGCTGATTCCTAACAACATCATAGGTATGCGTTCATGTCTGAAATTCCACATTAATATAAAGTCACCTGTTTCTCAGTGCTGAGATGATGTAATCTGACATATTTCCTGTGCACTTTTATCCAGACCATGGAGTCCACTTCCTGAACGGGTTGTCAGATACTGCAGCCAATGTTGGAGAATCAGCAGAGTTGTCCTGCAAACTTAGCAGTGAAGATAGCAATGGATTATGGTACAAAGATGGAAAAAAGGTTATAATGTACAGAAATGTATTATATTTATCCATATTTGTCAACCAAATTTAGTATATATAATGTTATCTATTGTAATATATTTTAAAATGTGATTATTCCTGTGAAGGCAAAACTGAATTTTCTAATGAAGTCTGGAATAATGGCTGCTGAAAATTCAGCTTTGCCATCACAGGAATTAATCACATTTTACAAATCATATTCAATAGGTTTTAAATTGTAATAATATCTCACAATATCACTGTTTTTACTGTTTATGTGTTCAAATAAATGCAACCTTAGTGAGCATTTCAAAACATAAAAAAATATCCTAGTTAATCTTAACTTTTGGCCGGTAGTGGATATATCATGCATTACAAAAATTAAATGCATTTTTTTCTTTTACATCAGTTGGAGTCAAAGGATGGAATTACAATTGTCAAAGATGGGGCTCACCACAAACTAATCATCCATGACTGCCAAGAAAGAGATGCTGGAAAATATAAGTTTGAGGCTGAAGGACGTAAATCAGAGGCTGCACTAAATATTAAGGGTAGGTGTGTTTTCTGCTTTTCTCTTTGCATGTCAACATAAAATTGGTAGTAAAATGCATTTAATTTTGTAAGATTTAATTTTTAACATTATTTGCCGGTGTAAGCATAGGGCAAAGGTATCAGGAAAAGGTATCAGGTGATTATAATAAACTTTCACAGATATTCTCTTTTGATGCTTCACTTCAAAATATGATGCTTTCTGTAAAATGTAATGTATTAACATCAGACCCATAAAAGAGACATGCTGTGTGGTAGTTTATTCTTGCCTGTGAATAAACAACACCTCTACTGTACCACCCAGCCCTGGTTTATAGTAAAGCAATTAATTTTCTTTCCTCTCATTTCTTCAGATCCACCCAAAATTGATGCAGATGCCTTGAGTAAATTCTCAGAGCCTGTTATTGTCAAGGCAGGAGAAAATGCTTCCTTCAAACTACCATTTTCAGGCAAAGAACCCATTAAGATTCAGTGGTTTAAAGAGGACGAAGAGTTGCTGGAGGGTCACGGTGTCAGGATCGAAAAGTCTTCCACTCATAGCCGTCTACTTCTTACTAAGTGTCAGCGCAAAGACACTGGAGAGATAAAAATCAAAATCAAGAATGAATTTGCCACTGTAGAGGCAACTTCAGAACTTACAGTAGTTGGTATGTATTGCAAACTAAATAATTTGTCTTAATGTCTAAACTGCAAAAAATTATCTGTGAAAGCATATTTTAGAAGAATATTAAATCTACATATATCTATGCAACAGTCAAAGACATCTGTCTGTGTTTTATTTATAGCTGTAGCACACATCTCTTACAATGCTATAGCTGTTTGCATGCTAATTAAAGAACCATCACTAAAAATATCAAAACTACAAAAAATCTGAGATTAACTGACGTTAACTGTTTGGTTGTTGGATGACTAATCAATGGTTCTACCATTGTGACCCATCAGTACTCTATATATATATTTTTGTTTTTCCAGACAGGCCAACTCCACCACAAGGACCTGTACAAATCGTAGAAAGCTCCTTGTCTGCCATTGAGTTTAAATGGAGACCCCCAAAGGATGATGGTGGTTGTCCAGTGACTAATTACAACCTGGAGCGACAGCAGCTGGGACGGAACACCTGGACTAAAATCGGAGACATTCCTGGACAGCCTACCTACAGAGACACAAACATAGATCGTGGCCGAAAGTACTGCTACAGAATCCGGGCAAAAAACTTGGAGGGCTTCAGTGAAGTCTTGACAACTAATGATATTGCTGCTGGCACTTTGGGTGAGATTCCTGATTTCTTTCTGTATTTTGATGTAGTAAATTATCAGTTGTTAGTCTTTAGAAAAGGAAGTGTGGTTTATACATAATAAAATGTGTTCTTTTTGTTCTCAGCATTCCCTGGCTCTCCTGCTCCTCCTAAAATAGTCAGTGCCTTTAAAGACTGCATTAACTTGGCCTGGCTTTCTCCCTCCAGCACTGGAGGGGGCAGTATCATTGGATACAATGTTGAAAAACGCAAAAAAGGTAGCAATTTTTGGAGTCAAGCAAACCCAAAAGATGATCCAATCCGAGGTATTGAAAATTAATTTACATATAATTTAAATAAAATATTAATTTAATTGAATTTTAATGAAAGTAGCCTGTTTTTCTCTCATTTGAAATACAGCACAATTTTAATGTTTTCATTTCATATTTAGACAAAAAATATGCTGTAAAAGATGTAATCGAAGGTGTGGAGTATGAGTTCAGAGTGAGCGCTATTAACACATGCGGGCCTGGGGAACCAAGTGGGCCGTCTGAATGTGCAATTGCAAGGGACCCCAAAAGTAAGACATGCTCAACAAATTTATACTCAATACCACTCTATACTGAAATGGTGACTTGCCAGATAGAGTACAAAAATATCCAGAATTTTTAAGCAAATATTTGTGATGTTATTTTCCCCAGAGCCTCCTGGTAAGGTCAAAGACTTCAAAATTACTGGATCGAGCTACACCAGTCTATCTCTTTCCTGGACTAAACCTAAGGAAGTCAAAGGTGAGGAAGATGAAGCAAAAGGCTATTTTGTGGAAATCAGACCCACAGACCAACTTGAGTGGAGTCGTAGCAATACAAACGCAGTGATTCAGACTTCCTTCACTGCTGTGGGATTGAAGTCAATGGCCATGTATTGGGTTAGAGTGATCGCCGTCAATGAAGGAGGAGAGGGGCTTCCACAGAGCTTTGACAATTACATCATTGCCATGCCTCCTCCAGGTAAAGAATCGTGGGGGTTTTTTGTGTGTTGTTGTTGTTTTGAATATCTTTGACTTTTAGCTTTAAATTTCACACAAAGATAAGTTAATCTGCCTTTTTTTTATTTTTTAGTAAAGCCAAAGTTCACTGACAAAAAAATGAAAAGTTTCATGGTTGTTAAAGCTGGAAACACTGTTCGTGTCAGCGTCAGTTTTGAGGTAGGGTATCAAAATATATCTTATTTTACCAAAAGCATATTCACACGTGACAAAATATTAACACTCCTTTTGTATAATACTGTATATCAGGACTGAGTATTTGTTTTATTTTATCCACAGGCCTCTCCTTTACCAGACATAACATGGCTAAAGAATGGTGTTCCTGTAGCCAAACATGTGACAATTACTAATTTTGAAAAAGGTTCTCAGCTATTTATTTACACCTCAGAGCTGTCTGACACTGGCATTTATACTGTCAATGTGAAGAATATGGTGGGCCAGGACACCTTCACTATTGAAATAAGAGTCACTGGTAACCAAACTCCTTAAATTTCTTACCTAAATTTTAACTAATGTTAAGGACATGTCATTTTAGTAATATTTCTAAATAGTATTTAATATTTTTTTTAATAGCAACAATATATAAAATTAATGTAAAAAATAAAAATACATTTCATTTTTATGTGAATATCAAAACCCATGGTATGGTTCTAACGCTACTATATATAGTATAGAATAATATAGTGATTCTATATGCGTACTTGTTTATTTTTCATCTCCAGATGATCCCAAGCCTCCAGGTCCTGTAGAACTGGAACAGCATGTCCAAGGCACTGTGACTCTGTCATGGACTCCTTCTCCCGATGAGAAACGAGACAACCATCTGCATTACATGGTGATGAAGCGGGACTCTGTCAAGCAAACATGGCTTACACTGGTTGACTGCTTGTTCAACAACAAATTCACAGTCATTAACATCTTGCCAGGAAGAGAGTACAATTTCAGAGTGTTTGCCAAGAATGATATAGGCCTCTCAGAGCCCTCAGTGTCTCCAGTTTGGGGAACCACCAAAAAAAGAGGTTTGTGGATGATTTTGTTGAGTTTTTTGTTTAGTTTATATAAAATATATTTTTTAAAAATCATATTTGTATTTATATTTTCCAGTATTCTAAATGTTTAATATAAAATTATATATATTAAAAAGAGCAGATGACATGAAATATTTTTAAATCTATTTTAATCAGCACTGATTGTTTTATTTACTAACTGCCTAAAAATGTACATTCTTTCATCATTTACTCACCCTCTGGTTGTTCAAACCTGTAGTTTCTTTCTTCTGTTGAACTCAAAAGAAGATATGTTGGTAATGCTGATAACCAACAGTTGATGTTAGCCATTGACTTTCATAGTATGGAAAAAAAAAATACTATGGAAGTCAATGGCTACCATCAACTGTATGGTTGCCAACATTCTTCAAAATATCTTCTTTTGTATTCAACAGAGGGAAGAAACTCATGCAGTTTTGGAACAAGTCAAGGATTGTCAATGGATTTTTCATTTTTGGTCCAACTATCCCTTTTTGACTGCATTGCCTCTGGGACATTTAAATGTCAAATATATTCATATAAATTTCAATCTAAAATCTTGTTAGTGATGAAAAATAATCCATAGTCTCATTATGAACCAAAACAAATTACGTTTGGACAATCAATGGTCTCGACTGCATTACAACCAGCAGTGCAGTGGTCTAGGCTACTTGCCATTTAACAGACACCTTTTCCCAAAGCAATTTACAGAACACTAATTGCAGTGAGTCCCTTGGAGAAGTCAGAGATAAGTGTCTTGCTCAAGGGCACAGTGATGATAGAAGATCTATGAAACTCTATTTATGGGTCACCCTTATCCAGGTTTATACTTCTGGGATTTGTGATGCTGTCCCTGACACATCGCCACTAAACTATTTCCTCCTTGTTCTGAAAATGTTGTTCCTAAAAGGTTGACTGCTGCAGTACAGTACATGGTGGCCTATTACAGTAGCTCTGGATAATTGTTTTGCCAGTGATGATGCGCACTTCATATGCTTCATAAATTGCTCACAGCCCTCCAGCTTATATTGTACCTTCACTTGGGCAATATAACCCAGATGCACAAACAGATAATTGTGATGCATAATGTGAGGTGACCAAAAATGGACACTACTACAACTAAATAATCACTTTTTTGCAATTTTTTAATCTCTTTCAGAAAAATTCACATATAGCTTGCCTGTATCAAAGACCCTCGACTTCCAGGCAGCCCCGAAATTTATTGTCCCTTTGAAAGTTCACGCTGCTCCGCCAGGTTATGAGTGCTATATGAGCTGTGCTGTGACGGGCAACCCAACCCCACATATTACCTGGTACCATAATAATGTCAGCCTCAACACAAATCCCAACTACTACATCACAAACGTGTGTGGTGTTTGTTCACTGCTCATCCTGAGGGTTGGACCCAAAGACATGGGAGAGTACAAGGTTGTAGCCGAAAGCCCCCTTGGTCATGATGAGTGCTCCACCAAACTTATAGTCAAAGGTATATCTTCTATTTTAATATTAATTAACCTATTTTGGTAAATGTTTTAGATATGAGGTTTATCTTTCATATGATTTTAACTTTTAGGCAACAACTACTACTTTTCTGTTTTCTTGTTTTACAGAGTAAAGAAACTTCAAACAACACCGTTTGTGATCATATTTCTTGAAAGTGAAATAAATGTAATAATTGATGTGATCTTAAATAAAAAATAAAATAAAAAGAAGGAAGAAAATAAAAAGATATCTCAACATATATGTATTGAATGATCTGTCTGTCAGTCTGTCTGTCTGTCTATGTATCAGCTAAGAAGAATCATGTTTCATTTCTTTAGAAGCATCAGGTTACCTTGAGTTGTCTCAAAAACTAGAAGCCGTCTGTGACAAAAGTGTATAAAGTCCCAGCAGTCTAGATGCCAGGCAAAGATATAGCCATTAGTTATGTTTACATTCGATACAACTCTATTGATAGCCAGATGCAAAGTTTCATAACATTCATCATTGTAAAATGAAAGAAGTTTGGACCCACCAAGACTCCTGGAGCCAAATAAATAGTGCAATGTAATTCTCATCCTTGAACGGCCTAACCAAAGTCTTCATATCTCTGCTGAAAATCTGAAGAGAGACTTCATCATCAACCAGTCTGAAAGTTTTAGACAGTCTGCAAAACAGAGTAAGAGAAATAAAATTAAACTGCACGGTGTTCTTAATATTTAAGCAAATTATTTTATAATATAGAGGCCTACTGACCAGATCTAAGGATCAGTATCAGGATAGATAGATAGATAGATAGATAGATAGATTTTACCATCAGTATCAGGATAGAGTATATACATTTTATGTTACAAGTATACAACATAAAAACAAAAAGTAATAAAAATAAATATGAAAATGAGATACATTTTACCATCAGTATCAGGATAGATAGAGTATATACATTTTAGATAGATAGATAGATAGATCTGAAAAACTCTGAAACATTAGGTAAGTTTGTACGTGCCGCACAGCGCCATTAAAGTGAGACCGCCTCTCAGTGCACAACGCCCCCTACTCACGCTCCTCGTGCTTGAAAGTTCTCTTTTGATTATCCCCCTTCGTTGTGGCCCAATGCCGCGTTGAGGTCTGGTAGTAGAGCGCTAACCAAATCACTAAGTAAGGGGGAGTGTTACGGTCTACAGTGCAGATCATCCGCGAAGCCAAGATGACCAAACGCAAAGGAAAAAGTACCAATAAACAGGACGACAGTTTGCTGCTCTTGGAGACGCCATCTGTAACACCACCGAGGGGATTTAAAGAATATGCAGTCCCTGCCATTGTTTTCTTTATTTTCGCTGTCGGGGGATCAACGGCAGTCTGGTTCTGCAGCCAGCAGCAGCAAACCATCGACAGTCTAACAGAGACAGTCAATGCAATGCAACTTAGGATAACCAAGTTCCAACAGCAGTTGGTAATGGGTAATGCACAGGTATTCGATTTTGAAATACACTAGAATAATTAACAAGTTATAAAAATTGCATTATTGTTGTTACAAGTTAACTTTTAAATAAAATAATCCAGTTCGTTACTTTTACGCACAGGAAAACACACTGTGTGCGCATTGGAACATTGTGTACTAAGCACATTCTTGATCAAGTTTATATATTATGGTGAACATTTTGAATTATCTGTAATTTGATTGTAAAAAAAAAACAAAAAATGCATAATGCTAACGGGTCTGAATGTATGCCTCATGTGCCCTTTGAATATTCCTTTCGCTGAATTGTGTCATGCTCCCAGGCCATTAATAGTCTGTTCGGAGGAGGATCGTGTTTCCTTTTGCCAGGCTGGCTTGTTTAAAGGACATTATGCAAATGGTATCCTAACCAACATGTAAAAGTAAAAGTAAAAATATAAATAGACACATAAATTACTCTTTCATTTAAAAGGCAGTCAGCACTGCATTAGTGATCAGAATGTAATGTATTAAAGTAACCCTTTCATTTAAAAATGTCAAACAATTTTCATTTCACTGATGGTGATTTGTAGAACTGTAGTATTAAATGTTGTCATTCACATTAATAATAGTCACTCTACATCCATCATGCCATTTGCTTTGGGTTAAATTTCTCACTGTCAAAAAATATAGCATAAATAATGTTACTGTAAAATATTGAATCCTTTAGCATAAGTAGTACTATAAATTCATCAAATGTTATTTGAATTTGAATGAAAAGAAGTGCCACTATTTTAAACGTCAGTGGTTTTACAGCAACTTAAACTCAATAGGCCCTTTGTGGAAAACACTCTAGGAAATCTTTCCAGGACATTTGCTGTGAGGGCTTAATCGTAACCACATGGTGTTGTTGGGTAAAAATGCTTTTGCTCTTTAAGTTTCATTTCAAAACCATGATGTTTTAAAATGCCATTGGTGTTGGTCTGGGGGGGGGGGAATGTAAAATGTATGTACAATTATTTTTACATAAAACTTGTGAATCCATTAGAATCATTAGAACACAGAATTGCGATTCATATATGAATATATTTTTTCGTGCACCCCTATAGTTTTGACGGCATGGCAACAACTCTTCCTCTTCTTCTCTAAAGCAGCCACCTCGCCCCCTTTGTTGCATGTTTTCGGGGGTGGGGTTTATCAGGGTTTGTGACGTCACAAACCCGGGAAGTAACTCATTGTAGTCCCTACGAGCCGTTTTTGTAGGCATTAAACTGCCATAATTTTAAAAGGCGATATCTTCGTTTGCATTTAACTTTCAGCGTCGTAACTTTGCAGATATTGTTTATGCTCAAACAGCAACATTACACACTAACGTTAAAAAAGTGAAATCGCAATCAACAACCCCTTTAAGATTATAATCAAATTATGATAACATTAATTTATGCATTTTAATGGCATTTCTTTGGAAACTACCTAATACAAAGATCAATGCCATCATTGTTTTTATAATACTTTCCCCTTCTGAATCATAGAACTCATTGCTAGTGTAACTAGCTGCCAACACCACTGACAAGAGCATGGTATGAACAAACTTATACATTTGGTGTATTTTTAAAATCCTGAATTATTCACAGTGACCTTGTGTGAAATGATAAATTAATTACTACAACACTGTAGATTTAATGTATGATTGATGAATTTTCAGATGCGAACTGCAATTGTAGATGGACATAAAAGTGCTTAGGCTCAATACATGTCTGAATTGGTGAAATACTGCATATTGATCAAATTAATAATTGAACTTTATTGCAATGAAAATATTTTGTTTATATATCTAGATTACCAATGTGGGTGTTTTTGAAGAGCGCCTACAAGCACTGGAAGAAGCCTACACACAGGCCCAAAAAAAGGCAGACGTTGCACTGGCCACTTCAGAAAAAATCAAATCTACTGATCTTCAAAATCAATTCTGGTCTCTTCAGTCTGAGATGAATGGCAAACTTTCTGGACTCCAGCAGGAATCTGTATCCACTGCAACGTTGAATGCAGTGGTCAAGAATAAGACTGAAGAGATTGAAACACTGAAGCAGAGGCTTAATTCTATCCTTACTTCGAACTCTGAGGTAGCTGTTACCATTTCTGGGCTCACAGACACTGTGTTGGTCACCAAATCACGTCTTGACGAGCAGATGTCCACTACAGAGGGTCTCACATCTGAGTTGGAGGAACAAAGAATGGAACTTTCAAGCCTGAAGGAATCCTTTATCAGCAACAAGAAGGCTCTTGAAAGAAACAGACAGGAGGTGATGGACATCAAGTGAGTAACCTGAGGGGATTTGTGGGATCATAGATTATGGATTCTCTCTAGCATTTCTGGTCTTTAGCGGTTTGGTGTTGTTACTGATACAGATTATTCCTAATTCATCTTTATTTGTTCTCTCTGCTAGGGACCTCCTGGAGATGGAACAGGCAAGAAGATCCCAAGTTCTTGAGGAGCAGCTTATGGCAGTCCGTAGGAGTCTGGAGGACCATCAAAAGAGTACTCATAGCCTTCACTCTCACCTTGCTACCCAACTTGAGATCGTCCAGAGTCAGGTATAGTCCTAACTGTTTCATTTTTTTTCATATATGATCATTTTGGCATGTCACATCCTAATGTTCTTTATATGTTTCAGATGTTATCTGAAAGCCAGCAGTCCAGTTCAGAGGAAAATATTCCAGTAGAAGAGCAGCAAGTGAAGCAAGCAGCAACTCAGGAGGAAGTTCCAATCAAGGATGAAGAAGTTGAAACAAAGGAACAAGCCATTACCGAGGAGGAAACGGTAGAGGAGGTTCATGATGAAGAACGGGAGCGAGTGGTACCTGAGGAGGACGAGCCAGCTGAGGATGTTCAGGTTCATGGGGAAGAACCTGTTGAAAAGCAAGCCGATGAGAATAAAATTCCTGAGGAAGCTGAAGTCAAAGAAGATGTTGCTGAAGAGCAAGCAGTAACTGAGGAGAATGAACAAGCTGATGAGGTTCCATTCCACCAGGATATTATTGAGGAAGCAGTAACTCAACAGGATGAAATGCCTGAGGAGCTACAGGTATCTGACAAGGAAGTACCAGCTGAGGAGGTTCAGGTCCTTGGGGAAGAAGAATCTGTTGAGAACCAAGTAGTAACTGAGGAGGATGTGATAACTGAGGAAGTTGAGGTCAACGATGAAGATGTTATTGAGGAGCAAGCAGTAACTGAAAGGGATGCGATATCTGAGGAAGTTCAGGTCAATGATGGAGATGTTATTGAAGAGCAAGTTGTAACTGAGGGGGATGTGATAACTGAGGAAGTTGAGGTCAACGATGGAGATGTTATTGAGGAGCAAGCAGTAACTGAAGGGGATGCGATATCTGAGGAAGTTCAGGTCAATGATGGAGATGTTATTGAGGAGCAAGTAGTAACTGAGGAGGATGTGATAACTGAGGAAGTTGAGGTCAACGATGAAGATGTTATTGAGGAGCAAGCAGTAACTGAAGGGGATGCGATATCTGAGGAAGTTCAGGTCAATGATGGAGATGTTATTGAGGAGCAAGTAGTAACTGAGGAGGATGTGATAACTGAGGAAGTTGAGGTCAACGATGGAGATGTTATTGAGGAGCAAGCAGTAACTGAAGGGGATGCGATATCTGAGGAAGTTCAGGTCAATGATGGAGATGTTATTGAAGAGCAAGTTGTAACTGAGGGGGATGTGATAACTGAGGAAGTTGAGGTCAACGATGGAGATGTTATTGAGGAGCAAGCAGTAACTGAAGGGGATGCGATATCTGAGGAAGTTCAGGTCAATGATGGAGATGTTATTGAAGAGCAAGTAGTAACTGAGGAGGATGTGATAACTGAGGAAGTTGAGGTCAACGATGGAGATGTTATTGAGGAGCAAGCAGTAACTGAAGGGGATGCAATATCTGAGGAAGTTCAGGTCAATGATGGAGATGTTATTGAAGAGCAAGTAGTAACTGAGGAGGATGTGATAACTGAGGAGGTTGAGGTCAACGATGAAGATGTTATTGAGGAGCAAGCAGTAACTGAAGGGGATGCAATATCTGAGGAAGTTCAGGTCAACAATGGATATGTTATTGAAGAGCGAGCAGTAACTGAGGGGGATGAAATAACTGAGGAGATTCCAGACCAAGAAGAAGAAGCTGTTATTGACAAGGAAGACCCAACTTCCATGGAAGAAACAGGAACTGACACACGTGTGGCAGAGGCTGTTGAGAACTTCTCTGAAGAACAGGTAGTTGAAGATATCAGTCAGGAGCAAACGTCGCATGAGCCACTAGAAGAAACTGAGAAGCAGAAAGACTTGGGAGAATTTGAAGAACACGTGCAAGACTCTGAAGAAGAAGAAGAACCTGCTGAGGAGATTGTGGAAGAGCTAGATGAAAAAGACATTTCTACCAATGGAAGTTAAGTTCCTGAGAGGATGATGGTTCAAAATAAAAGACTTTTTCTGAGGACTTGAAATGATCCCCAATGAATTATGTGATGCATAGTATTTCACATTTGTTGAAATGTTCCTCAGTCTTACTTTGTATACCCTAAAGTGAACTTTGAACCTAGCAGTGAGTTTTTCAAATCCAATGATGAATTTGTTTTTCTAGTGATATCTCTTAAAATCTTGAAGTGCTCCGTTTACACTGAAATGTAGTAGAGTGTGTTGATATTGTTGTACTAGGTTACACATTTAAAGAATTGCAGCGTTTTTCATACAGCAGTTTGCCAGTTAACTAACCTCAGGAGTGTCACTTGAATAAAACAGCTTTTTATCTTTTTTACTATTTCCCTGTCCCAGCCTCTCTCTCATCTGGTGTTTAGTTGTCTGTTGAAATGGGACATGTGCTGTGTGTGTGTGTGTGTGTGTGTATTTGCAGCTCTTAGGTCAGGGGTTCAGGAATGTGCTGCTGGTCCTGGACACTGGGGACATGTGTGTCCAATTTGTAACTATAGTGCTTATTTGAGCTCATCAAATGCCTGAAAGACGAGATGTGTACCTTGTGCCCTTCTCAACCAGACCACAATTTATACTGAAACCAAGTCCCAATAGTGCTGTTCTAAGGCAAGCAATGTTGCTAATTAAATTTTATTATGTACAGCTTTTCTCTTTGTGCTGTTATGACAAGAATGAACAGGAACAGAAGTGATAAAAGAGAATAAACTAAGAATCGAGAAAACTATGTAAGGGCAGAAGACTTTGAAAATCTGTTTACTGAGAAAAAAGAGAGAGATTTTGCCTAAAGCTTTTTAGCCCATTTTAGACATTAAGTATAATGTTGTCATGACAAGGAGGTTGCTTGACAAAACTTGTTTTGGATGTTTTACTTTTAAATGTGCTTATTTGTAATTCTGGTTATATCTCAATGGTCAGTTGTGATTCTCATATTATTTTTTTAATTATTTTAATGCGTTATTATTATTTTTTTCATTATTATTATTATTATTAGGAGTAGTAGTAGTAGTAGTAGTAGTAGTAGTATTAAAGGTGAAATATGACCCGGACATGTTTTTGACAGGCTTTGTGGCATTTGTCAATGTCGAGACTTTTATTATGAAAGCTAATATCCGCTCTTTCGGTCCGCTTCATAATTCAGTCCGGTTGTGTTGTATGATGCGGGGTGGTCTGAGAGAGTGGGGTGTACTGTCTCGTCATCGTGCCTCAGTCATTCCCGCACGGAAACCTATTAATGATATCAGGGGGGTTACAGTCACTTCGGGGGGCTTCTGCAGTCCGAAACAAGTCAGCTCTCTATCTGTTATTGGGGAATGAACGACGAGAAAAGCCCGGATAACGGCAAGAGAAACTCTGGGTATACCAGGTAAAAATGAACCACCGACCGGCTGTTAGCTCGTTAAATGACCACGACAAAATAGAATTGTTACAGTTATATTTATATTTTACGAATACACTTCGTTTTTGAAATGACAACACAAACAGACCCAGTGTTTCCTGCTTTCCTGCACACTTTAACGAATGTTTGCATAGCTCTACTTAGAAGATTCGAACATTACCTTACCTCACTAAAACCGATCTTTCGAATCACTGTCTAAACTATTAAACAAATCATCTCAATTGACATTTGAATCACTGTTTAAATGGAAGGTTTCAAATACTTCCTAAATTGAACGTTAGAATCACTGTCCAAATGAAACATTTGAATACCTTTTGATTCCAATCGAAAGTTCGAACGGTCTAAATCGAATTACATGAAACATTCGAATCGACGATGCCCAAAATAATCTCGTTGAAAGCATGGTTTGATAAATGACAATTACTTGAGCTTGTACTGTTATTATTTAACACAAGGTGGCAATGCATCCTATGTTTTGTGTTATTTGTTGAAAACTTGTCTTACCTGAAAAAAACTCATATTTGTGACCCTGGACCACAAAACCAGTCATAAGGGTAATAAGGTTTTTTTGAAGTTTTATATCTGATATTTGAAGAAATAAGCTTTCCAATGATGTATGGTTTGTTAGGATAGGACAATATTTGGCTGAGATACAACTATCTGAAAATCTGGAATCTGAGGGTGCAAAAAAAATCAAAATATTGGGAAAATGGCCTTTAAAGTTGTCCAAATGAAGTCCTTTGCAATGCATATTACTAAACAAAAAATTACGTTTTTATATATTTACGGTAGTAAAAATAAAAAAAATAAAAATACTAAATATCTTCATGATCATTTGAACATGAACATGATCTTTGCTTAATATCCTAATGATTTTGGCATAAAAGAAAAATCCATAATTTTGATCCATACAATGTATTGTTGGCTATTGCTACAAATATACCCGTGCTATTTATGACTGGTTTTGTGGTCCAGGGTCACATTTAGAGTCTGATTAGACTGCAACATCTAATCTTTCGCTATGTGGCTTTGTTTCTCTGTTCACAGTATTGAGCAAATGCTGGCTGCGAACCCCGGGAAGACGCCCATCAGTCTGCTGCAGGAATATGGAACGCGGATAGGCAATACTCCAGTGTATGACCTGCTGAAGGCTGAGGGTCAGGCCCACCAGCCCAACTTCACCTTCCGCGTGTCTGTGGGAGACATCAATTGCACCGGCCAGGGCCCCAGCAAGAAAGCTGCCAAGCACAAAGCTGCCGAAGCTGCCCTGAAAATGCTGAAAGGAGGAATGCTGGGAGGGATCGAAGGAAATGGGATGGAGGGAGAAGGGTTTGTCGGGATTGATATGGAGGGAGAATGGTAAAGATCTGATTGTGTGCCCATTTTAAAAATACATTACACAAAGATCCATTTTCTCAAAACTGACGAATTAACATGGGTTTCTGTCTTTATATCGTGTGTGTGTGTTTTTTTTTCCAAATGTGTTTTAGCCCTCAGTCAGAGATGAAATCATCCAGTTCAACGCAACAAGCTGAGTGCAATCCAGTTGGAGCTTTGCAGGTGAGCGGCCATAACTCAAGGCTGGAATAGATTACATAAATAGGACTACATGTGCACAAACAAGTGCCTCATTTCTAGGAGACATATGATTAATAAAACAACAGTCTAAAACAACTCAAAATATCCAATATGTTCAATATCCTCCTAAAAGATGTAATCAAAGGCTGAAACTAAAAACATCAGTCTGTGCCCATGATGCACTACATGATTTTCTGTGAAATCTGTCAACTCAAACTGCCCAAAACCTGCAGACTGGCTCGGGCTTTTCAGCAACTACTGTTGACTCGTCCAAACTGCAAAATTCTGTGCAAAATGTAGTGTAGTGTAGTGTAGTGTAGTGTATTACACAGCCTTCAGACAAAGATTCTAGGCAGTCATTAAACTGCAGATGTTGTGTATGCTTCATACTTCATAGATTACAAGCCTAAGAAAAGAGCAGTCTGTTTGTGTTGCTTTTTGATGTGGCAATTAAGCATGAATAATATTAACTGATATTAGCTTTTTTTTTTTAATCATCCGCATCAATCTGTGTAGGCCAATATTGGAAGCAGATAGTGTTGGGGCTTACTTCTAGTTTTAACTGTGTATATACAGTTTGAAATATACACGTGTATATTTTTTCTTTCTTTTTATTAATTTTTTTATAAAGTTTGTCATGTTAGAGATTGCATTAAATAGTTATTTTTAACCTGGCAGAGAAAAAAACAGCATATATATTATTGGTAATGTTATTGTTATCACTTAAATATATTGCTGATGCAAATATCATGAAACTTATATTTATTGTGCTTAAAAATGCGATTTCCACAGGAACTAGTAGTGCAGAAAGGCTGGCGTTTACCTGAGTACACAGTCACTCAAGAATCTGGACCTGCACACCGCAAAGAGTTTACAATGACCTGCAGGGTGGAGAGATTTGTTGAGATAGGTACAAACTTACATTTTTTCTATAGTGATTATTTTTAAATGTGCAGTCCATTCAAAGTAGTGAATGTCTTTAATCTTGTTCTTTAGGTAGTGGCACATCAAAAAAGCTTGCTAAAAGAAATGCAGCAGCAAAGATGCTCTCTCGTATCCATGATGTACCTGTGGACATGCGCAGCAGCCATGAGGCCGAAGCAGAAGATGACACCTTCAGTATGGTAAGACGTGCAATATTTACTAAGCTGCAAATGCAATTTTAGGGTGCAGTTATGTAAATTCATCTTTTTGCAACAGCAAATGGGTGGCAGACTAGAGGGGGGAAAGTCTAAAGGTCTCGGCTGCACTTGGGACTCTCTGCGGAACTCGGCCGGGGAGAAGATCCTACAGTTGCGCTGTCATCCTCTGGGTCAGCCTGACTCCAATGACTCCAATTTTTGTTCTCTCCTTCGTGAGCTTTCCGAGGAACAGCGCTTTGACGTCAGCTACCTGGACATAGGTGAGATACAAAGCTAGTCGAACAAGCCCATTAAAGTCATTTAAGTGCTTTAAATTAACAGATATTGAGAACACTAACTACTCTGCTTAGGGGAATAAGCAAAACCAGTAGTGCTTTCTTAAAAACTAAATATGTTTTGGACTTTGTTCATTCAGAGGAGCGCAGTTTGAGTGGCCTTTACCAGTGTCTGGTGGAGTTGTCCACGCAGCCCGTTACCGTCTGCCACGGATTCGCCTCTAGCCTGGATGCAGCACGTGCCAGTGCTGCCCACAATGCCCTTCAGTACCTCAAGATCATGGCAGGCGGGAAATAAACCACAGTAAGAGCTCTCCTGTAACATTTTTGTTTTCTTTTTGCTACCCAGAGGAAAATAGGAAAATCAGGTGAAGCTTACCTCTTCTGCCCCCAGTTGTGTAATCTGAGGGGCTTGTTTGTTTGATGCAAGTAAGTGCACTGTAATGGCCTGCAAGGCCCTTTTGTTTGAGTCCTTACTGTGAAATCAGTTGGAGAACGTACTGATTGCCTGATTTTCACCTTGAATATGACACCAAAAGCGTGTGCCCTTGTTCCTCAAGTGCCTCCAAACAAAGGCAGGGGACACTATTAATTTGAAACCTGAGGACAAATGTTCACAGGTGTTCAATGTGAGTGAATTTATCGCTGCGATTCATTTGGAAAAAGTCATATGTATTTCTTCACAAATAACTGAACTCTGCCCAGAAGTTTTGGTCTTTTAACTTTCCCTCTTTTTTTTTTTTTGTTCTATTTAAATTATGGCATAGATAATTTGCTCTGTGACCTTGATGAATTGATGAACCTAGAACAGACAGCATGACTTTTTAAACTGTAAATATTTCACTTTTTTACATTTTATTTTCATTATATTTTAGTAATAGAAGTTATTTGTTAACATTTATTTTGCTTCATAGAACATATTTGTAAAATGTTTTTTTTTCTCAGCCATTGAAATAATAATATCATTTTTAACAAGGACCTGACAGTTTGTGGTAAATATCTACCTCTGTGTTTCTGCCTCACAAGCTTCATCATTACATTTGAACTGACAAAGACTGAAATGTTCATATTCAGTATAATAGTATACGACCAACAACAGTAGTATGTGAAACTGTGTGATTACTGATGTAATTTGTACCAAATTGGTGAATCTGTAATATATTGAATATTTTATCTTGAACAATAAACTTGAAATTGACATTATCTTCTGCTTTTGGCATTTAGTCATTTGTTATTTAGCAAATTCTGTTCATCCTGTTCGCATGTATTGCAAAAATGTGGTTCTGTTGTACTTACTTAACCTTCCTCAAGAGGGCAACAGAGTTAGCTTTTAAAGTCACTAGTTCAGGGGTTCTCAACCTTTTTTACTCCGGGGCCCCCCTCCTTCTCCGGTCAATTTTGCAAGGCCCCCATATGCCTGACATTTCCTCTTATACTGTACTTCCGCAATTCCTTCATATAACATCATAACATAGTAGATTATGCATTATTTTTTACAGACTTTTCTTAGAGTGCAGCATACTAACTAACTACTAATACACTGCTTTAAAGTATAATTGATCAGAATGTGTAGTTTTACTTGTTTATTAGCTAATAATAAAAAAAACTTAAATTGTAATAGTTAAAAAATGTGTAAGTTTTCGAAAATTCAATAGATTTAAAAATTGTTATTTATATTTTAATATTATATTATGCATTTATATTGTTACAAACAAATCTAAATTAACATATATAAAATATATGTTTTTGCTGAGATTTGACATAATTTTGCATCGTGATTACGTAATGACGTCATCACGCTATGTCATCACAACATCTTTTAGCAAGTTTTAGCAACAAATCAACCTTCCTTTAGCAACTTCCCCTGAAAATTAGTTGGCAACATTGCATTTGCATTGTGGCATGAATTGCTTTCTAACAAAGGCTGAAACGGAGCTTGTTTTGTGTTCACATACTTGGTTTCAATGGACATTTCTGTATTCCAAATCAAATTTTTGGGTTCGAGTCCCCACTGCATTATCAGGCAAGTTCCTAAACCAGTCTACCAAAACTAAATAGTTCAAATAAATTATTTATTACCATTGTGGAATGACAAATAAAGGCAATATGTACAGCAGTTTATCCATCTGAACAAGAAGACCGAAAAGTGCACAAAATTAGAAAACAAACTATTTCAAAACCAGATTATATGCATCATTCAAGGCTGCTGGTTTTCACATTAGAGTAATATAAAAGCAACAATCACATGCTCCTGGTCTTATTGTGCATGACTTATCTGTACAAACTATTCCAAAGATAAAGTCATTCCATCCCGCTTAGAAAGATGGGTTTGCAAACACCATTTCATGTTGACTTGAAGGACATTAGTAGACGCAGTTTGTGCTTCATTAGCCTGAGATTTGATGTTATGTTTTCTCTGGGGTTAAGAGGGAATGGTGCACATCCTCGTCAGCATATCCACTGCTGTCTGACTGAAAACTGTCCCCTCTCAATGGTGACGCTGGGAAAGAGAAACCATGTGTAAAGAAGCTGATGATTTTAGATAGGTTCCCTGAAATGTGATAAGGCAGACAAGATCAGCCGGACCCAATTTACCACGTACGATGTGTTTTTAACAAGTCAGCAAAAACACCTCCCTTTATCACCACATTAACACATGTTGCTTTCTGTGAACTCTGTGAATTAATTTTACTAAACTTATCAAGAATTAGTCAAATTAGTGGTTAAAATTTGTCTCACGAGTTCTAGTCATGATAAGGACTACTCATGTCACTTACATTTGTGGTGATGCGTCGAAACAGACAATGTGACTGTGGAGCAGAATTCTGATGAAGTGGCTTCCTCTTCCTCTGCACTGTGAACCTGAATTGAAACTCTATACTTCATGATCATGCCACAAAACAGTGCCACAGTATAGAAAACTAGATAATTACATTGCCAGAGTGCTGTTTTCTTTTACAAAACATGCTGCCTCAATGCTAGTTTGCTATGCATTTGCTAATGTGTTTGTTGTGGTTTTTAGCATGTTGCTTACTGGCCAAGTCAAAGTTTCTATGATACTGCTGTCATTCATTGATTAGGGAAAAATTGTAAGTTTGAGGCATCATTCATGTCCGAAACAAACATGGCTGAGATACAGTACATGCCACAGTTGAATGCTTAAAGGGACAGTTCACCTCTAGGGCTGTATGAGGTTCCATTTCTGCCAAAAATGAACCGACTGCTTTGTGCTTTGTACTACACATGTCCTTGTCTACAGACATTGCCTACTTGTTCAGATAATTTAGTATATGTCCTCTGTTTATGTCGTATTGCTCTGTTGTCCTTACTGTCGAACAAAGCACAAAGCAGTGAGTTCATTTTTGGCTCAAATGGAACCTCACCCAAATGTGAAACTTCCATCATAATTTTCTCCCCCTCATGTCAATCAAAACCTGTATGACATTTTTTCCAGAACACAAAATATATTTTTAAGAATGATTTAAATGTTTTTGTGCATACAATGAAGCCTAGTGTGGACCCACTTTCATATTTTTCACTGTTTGTCAGCCATTTTTCAAAATATCTTCTTTTATGTTCTACAGAAGCTCTGGAACTATATGAGGGTGAGTAAACGATGACAGAATTCTCATTTTGGGTCAACTGTCCCTTTAGGGTTTGGGGTTTGTTCAAATCCCTAACCCAACTGTAATTGTGTAAAAAGTAATAGCACGAAAGCTTGTGGTATTATAAATGACAAGTCAAATTAGAATCTCTATGCAGAGGTGGAATGCAAAGAGGATGTTTGGAGGTGGATTCAGCAATAACGAGTTGGATAATACTCTGTTAATGACGTCTAATGGGAGAATCTGTGTGGGCAACTGCTCTTGGCATGAAATGCATTAAAATGATAAGAGATAGCGTACCTCTTCCAGCTCGAAGGAGTTGCCTTGTTTGCTCAGGTTTAGTGGTTTTACCGGGCTTAGCAACCTCTTGATGTTGGATGAACTTTGCTCCTGTGTGTCTCTGTTGGAGAGGGTGGTGTCGTCCTCCCATCCAGTGATTGTGATCTGACATAACTGATCTGACTTGGGTAAATTCTTTACATTAGATTGTCGTACAGAAGGTTTATTAGTCGTCTGGTGTGCAAATGGTGAGTTTTTGATATCCATACTATTTGTGTGTATGCAGCGATAAGGTGCCTTATTCACATATTCAACAACCTGAGGGCATATGATATCATGGGCAATGATAGGAACAGGTTCCACGGTAACGCTGGAGCTATTTGAAAGCACAGAACCCAGAGTACAACCTTTGTACTTCACGTCCATGTCCGTTTTTGGCTTTAGGCAAGGTGTACACTCTGCTAATGCATGGCTGAGGTCATGTACATTTTCATTTGTCGTCTCGGATAGTGACTGACAAGGCATCCACTCTGAGGAATCAGTCCTTTCGGTATTTTCCCCATACGTCATCTCCTCAAGTTCTTTCTTGCTCTCTATAAACCAGTCCAAGTCTTGTTCCAAATCATCTACTTCCATTTGAAGACATAACTCTTCATTGTCATCTTCTGCACTTTTCTCAACTACACCTGACAGACTGCATTTACGCTTACGAGGTGAATTGCTTGGAGACGTGGAGTCCGAGCCACGGGAACCCGTGTATAAACTTCCTGGCGTATCCTGGAGAGCTGGGATTCAAGGAACAGGCGGAAGTTGATGCCTCTTAGCTGGGACGGGAAGTTGAAGAAGCGGACTGGGATGCGGGCAGTGACCTGCGGTTCCTCGCAACCGAAACCCAGCTGGAAAAGGGTCTCTTCTGCATCTTCAGCACGCATTTGGAGGACCTCAGACACACTGGGGGATTTTTGAGATGTTATGAAGAGCGAAAGATATTTAAGAAACCAAACAAAAGTATAGAGTGAACTCAGGTAGACGGAAACTATGTCCACAGAATTCCAGTGCCTGTCATTCACGAAGACATTAGTTCTTCATCCCTTTCATGTTTATTTGTTGAATTTTTTGCATAATTTCATGATTTCAAATACCAGCTTGGATGTAGTATGTCAGTTCAAGGAATTTTGTTGTTGTTAGACATGAACAATGTAGAAAATGTGAAAAATAACTGAGCAGTTTGGGTGACGGCCTACTTATTAGTGAGGGCCACATATTCCAAAATACAGGTTATTTATATTACAGGGTCTTATTGTCATGCAGGTCGCATACATTTACTACTTTATTATGCATCACTCTACATTTGCAACCAGCCAACCACCTTGCTTAGCTCTGCCAAAACCATTTACAGTTTGACTTCAGAAGCACAAATCCATCTTGAGCATGAAAGCAAAATGCATACTGCAGGAAAGTGTTTTGGCTATTTCCTGCCAGGCACTAAGTGGGGAACCTTCATCCAGCAGGCCAGTTAAATGTAGTGCTATTTGGTCCAGTGTGTTCTGCCTCACCCATGCTCTTACCTGGAAGCAGTCCTGTTGGTAGTGGTTGAGAAGGCACTGGATGCAACGCTCTGACCCATGCTGAATAATGGCAGGTTGAGCTTCTGTTGAGGTGTGCTGCTGATATACAAATACAATGAAAGGAGGGATTATGGTAGGGTTAGGTTTAGAAGCATAAATGAGTAACTCAACGGTACAACAAAATCAACCTATTCCTTACCTAAACTGTGGTGCACCTGATGCAGCATATAATGCAGTAGCTGTGAAATCAAGAATTCAGGTTTAAATGAATGCTGCTGATGTTTACAAAATTATGTTTTTTTAAAGAATTTAATACTTTTATTCAGCGATGATGCATTAAATTGTTCAAAAGTAATTGTAAAGACTATTAGATTGCTACAAAAAAACAATTCAAATAAATACTGTTCTTTTGAACGTTCTATTCATCAAAGAATCCTGAAAAAAATCATGATCTCCACAAAGATATTAGGAAGAACAATTGTTTTCAATATTGATAACAAGAAGAAATGTTTCTTGAGTGCCAAATCAACATATTAGAATGATTTCTGAAGGATCATGTTACACTGAAGACTGGAGTAATGGCTGCTAAAAAAAATCAGCTTTGCCATCACATGAATTAATTACATTTTAAAATATATTAAAATAGAAATTAGTTATTTGAAATTGTATTAAATGCTGCCTTGGTGAGCATATCTTATAAAAATCTTATAGACCCCAAACTTTTGAACAGTACTATTACCTTACAATAAACACTCCTTTAAAAAAATTTATAAATACATACATACATAAAAATAAATATTTACCTTATTACTGTCTTAAAACACCATTTATTTATTACTTGCTTAATCTGGCCTTATTACTTGCTGAATATGTGTATCTGTGAATCTAACATTGTGCATGTGTGTTTCCGGATGCAAGAGTGGCTCAATATGATATGCAGCGCTAAAGATTATGCATGGGGGCAGTGAGGGGAGGTTCGCTCTCAAACATAAATGCAGTGCTGTATCGTACAGTATATAATCACCACCATCATACTGATTATGAGATCCTTACTGACAAGCACAAGGATGTCGCTCAAGAAAGAGGTCTGTCATCATAAATAACCAATAATTATTCAAAATGCATTACAGCGGCGCAAGGGTCTAGCACAAAATTGGCTTTAATTAGCAGTTATCCATTATGTTGTGCAGACATGGAATATAACACCTGGGGGTTGCAATCAAAATAAAGTCTATGTGAAACTATTAGTCATTAAGCAGACACTTTTAGACTCTACAAAAGAGAACTGTTTGTTGAAGGTGATATGCATGTTCTTGAACAATTTTAAAACAACTGTCACCACTTCTTCATTATTGCTTAGTTAGTTACAGTTACAGTTGTGTTGCTTCTACTCACCTTCTGCACCCAGACTCAGATCATCCTCGAAGCTGGTACCTGTCCTCAAAGGGCCTGTAGAGTTACATTTTACAGTTTTATCAGGATATAGACATACAGCAAAGGTCCATTGGATATTCTAGTCATTAAACACTCACTGTTAAGCCTTTACATTTAGCCTTCACATTTTTTTGAATGAATTATAGCATTTATTTTAATTAATTATCAAGAGAGAGAGAGCGAGAGAGAGAGAGAGAGATGACAGTTGTGTGTGCTTTACATGCATCTGCGCGTCTCTCTACAAACAATTAATTACTTCAAAAACAGCAATTTTACCACCTCGCTGTTGAGGAATATAATGAAGTGATCTAGTATCTAGGCTATTTTATTAATAAAAATCGTGGGGAAGCGTTGACAACAAGTTTATGTGTGTGCGCATGTGTGTTCTCTCTGTGTGTGTGTGTGTGCGCACGTGCTGTAACGTCGACCAGAGTGTTTTAGGATTTGCCCAGATGTCAGGAATAAAAGAAGGAAAAGAATACTCATAGACGAGAGAGTTGGTGATCCCATGCGTCTTTATACGTAGCTTCAAAGGATCCTCGCACTCTCTGCATACATGGAGGAGAGTGGGGAGAAAAATACAAGACACACTTTGGCAGAATTATAAATAAAAATAATAAAAGAATCAGGATGCTTTCTGGAGCAGAGTATACTAGAACAGTCCGCTATATCACCAGCGCAAACGTTACCCAGGCACACCCACCTAGACAACGCATGACATCACAGGAGGTGCCTTAAAGGTACATAACAAATTAGGTGGCCGTTACAGCGCGAGTTATGTGTGTGTGTGTTTGTGTGCATCAATTAAAGCTGGGCATTAATATGGAACAGTGATTAAACTGACTTGGAACTACCTGGGCATTAAACAGTTTTAATGCATACCTGCCAGCCAATCAGAATCCAGTATTCAGACAGACCATGGAATATATATATATATATATATATATATATTTATATATATATATACACAGCCCAAAGAATTCCTTAGATTTTACTTAAAATGTGACAGAACGTCTATGTAGGCCTACACAATTGCATATGTAAAAATGACATATTTTATAATTCTACTCTTGGTTGCACAGGTTTTATGCTTCAACTCAAAATCGTCTTTTTCAAAGAAAACTTGAACTTAATCGTAATCCAAAAACTTGTTTTGCCCTCAACCTACCTATTGTTAGGTGACTGCTTTTGGCAGGACTGGCTTCATTCCTGCAGAGAAGATGAAGAAAAGTTAAAACAAATGAAAATTTCACTTTTATCAAGTGTGAATCAGCAAAGGTCTGTGGGCGGGATGCGGGCATGCAATAAAATACTGCGATAAAAATAGAGACACACATGCACACAGCACATCTTTCAATTCTTGTGGCAGTATGTACTGGTAGCCCTTATTAAACAAATGTCAGAAAGATATCTTGCAGCTTGTCAAAGAAGGTCTTAAGAAGCCAGAATATTGCACGCTTTACAAGCACTGTTGATTCTGTTCGGTCTGGCATCTGACTACCGCTGCTATGAATGCGTTTAGATATATAATTTATAGGCTTTGCAGAATATATTTCCAATGTGTAAAATGTGTTGATCTTAATTATTCGAAATCCGTCTGAAAACACTTTTTTATGACCTCTCTAGCTCTTGTAGGAACTTGCAAAGCCTGCACGGTGAGAAACAATAACAAAAATGTCAAGATTTGTCTGCTATTTCCTGATCCAGAAAAGGAAAATTTGAAAACAGAATCTTCCTCAGAACAATCTATAAATAGAGCAAAATAACGTAGCTCAAATATTCTTTTGCACTGAAAGCTTTCATGTGAAAGTACTTTGTGAAAACATGGTCCTTGACCCTCAGAGATTGATGTATTTTTAACCTGCATGACCTTCAACGAATAAACCCAAGAGCATTTGTGGTTTTCCACTCACTTGCTGTTATTGTATTACAACTGACACACAATGCCTGTCTTTTATAGAAAGCGTTCACACAAACACTCACCCACAACCTTGAAGCCAGGTTTCAATCTTTCCAGCAGAGCATCCTGTGGAAACAAAATAAAGACGCACATTGTGATCTTAGCCTGTCTATTTGAGAATGGATGTGTGTGAGTGATAGAGAGAGAGAGAAGGGGGGGTGTAAATGAGCTTTCTGTTTTGGAAATAGAGTTTATCTGGTGGTAACCATGCACTGTTAGCAGTAGCAGTTATAATATAGTGAGCTAAACTTAAAAGTGACCTGATTAAGCTGTAATACACTTCTATTTTCTTTTATTCCAAACTATTGTCCAACATATTTTTTTTTTATCTTGATTGTGTTTTGCTTCAAACTAATTTACAAAATAAAGCATACAATGCTCCCAAAAAGTATTTGGGTTCCTAAAAATGCACGAATCTCATTCTGTTAGATAGCATAGTATTAAACCAAGAGGGGTTTTATTTAAACAAGGATTACACAAGTGCAGCTTTCAAGCTAAATATTTCCCAAATGACAAAAAAATTGAACTAAAACATTTAAAAGTGAACCCATAAATGATCCTGGTTGCATTATGTACTGTAGCTTCAATTCACATGCTTAAGAAGAAATGAGATATGCAGCTTCTTTCCATATTATCAACCTATTCACACAGCTGAACGTTAAACATTAACCTGATGCTCACCATCCACAAAGACATCATCTTGGAGAGAGAAATGAGACTGATGTTCTGCTGTTGGGCTGCGGTGTTCTGCATCTCTTACGGTAAACTTGTGGTGGCTGCTTGCCCACGCTTGTCGCCTCTCGATCTTAGAAGGACTCTCCATCTCTGTGGCCACCTAGCACAAGAAAACGCTTTGCAGGATTATTTAACCTAAACCGGAAACTGATTGACAAACAGTATTGCATAAAAAAAGCAAAGTATATGCAGCAGGATAGACTACAAAATTAAAACGAAACAAATATTAAAATCACTCTCAAATATAAATTCTGGCAAATGTAGGCCTCTGTAGTCAGATTTTGTGCCGATTTTGTTATATATCAAAATAATTATTTACAGAAACTCATGATGCTAATGATTATAATAACTTAATAATGAGTTCGAACCTTCTGATTCATACCAGTACTGTCATTTAAAATGCATAATCGCAAATCAAATTAAGCCATATGTGGCATTTTACTTTCATAGCTATAACCTCAGAACTATTTTGTACAGAAACTAACAACTTATATACTGTAGTCACAACAGGAGGGTTGTGGCCATGTGTTATAGTGTTTTCACTCCTCTGTGGGTGATTTCTAATGTTTAAGTGGTCAGTGTGCAAACTGTAAATTGACTTGCAGAGAGGAAATTTTCAGGGAGCGACTGAAGTTTCTTGCAAATTTTTTTTTTCATTGACGTTCAGCTGTCAATGTGTATTTGAGATACGTAAAACTATAATAAAATGATAGTAGCACCATTTATGTTCGGACAATGCTTCTAATGAAAATCCTGAGGAATAGTCCTCAAACGCTGTTGCTATGTTGACCTTCGCAGATGAGCGACTATGAATGAAAATAAGCTAACGTTACTGGTCAACCGTCGGAAATCATTTTTAAGCAAAACGCATTTTTGTCCTATATAAAACACACAGGCCTACAATTAGCTTGTACTAAGTAATAATGAGTGTTTTGACAATGGCGCCTGATGGTTATTATCCTAACTGACACTGTTTGCCTGTATTGCGTTAACGTTAGCCTAGCCTTCTTCAAATAGGGGGATGCCATTTCTGTTACCCAGCTGTTTTTTTTTTTTAAGGAAGGTGAAAAATGTTAAATGTGACCAGACTACAAAAATGAAACTGAAAACAAATACGGAAAGAACTCTCAAATGTAAATTGTGGCAAATGTTAGTCTAAAATTGCTCGAGCGCTGTACCGATGCAACGGTTACTTTTACAGGGGAGCGTCTTATACCGAAGTTGAACACGCCCCCGGCTAACTTTTGTTACGCTTCTTTCCTGCCCCTAGACTAGAAAGTGGGAACGTACCAACTGACCAAAATGTTTAAAAGCTCAATTGAAATGCATTTTTATGTAAAAAGTAGCCTATTACTTTTTAAACTCATCCAGCATTTTCTTTTGACTTCTTGAGCCTAAATTACAGCGTTATACCCTCCATCACCCTGCTGTCATCCATCCATCCATTAGCCTACTTACAGTACGAAGACAGATTGCGTTATAAAGGAAATCACGCGCAAGCAGCAACCACACGTTCAGTATCACCACATTTGCCATATCGCTTTCATTTAGGCTACACATAGTCGAAAGTGCCTTACACAAAGCAATACGCAAGTTTAAAATAATTAATATTTTCTTAAGGATAGAGGTTTCCATTGCGCATCACGCGTATAGCCTACCTTTAAAAGTGCCTCGATCAGTCCACTCTCATGGCAACGGCATAATTCACCGCACTACTATCCTGCATCCCGCTCAAACGTGCATCTTAAAGGATGTACATCTCGTATGCTTAAAAATAACACACGGCAGATTAAAAACCATGATCGATTGTTGAGCCGCCCGCCAACGCAAACTTTGGTGCTACAGTCATGACGCGCTATAACTGACGGAAGCGGTAGGAGGAAGATGCTGCTGTGAAGAACAGAATGAGAACTATGTTGTGACCACACACTGTTGTAGGAAATACTGTTACACACCGTTTACACAGCAAGTTTTGGTGGTTGAAGCATAACAGGCATGTGCAAGATATTGCGGCATAAACGCACAGTGTCTATAAGTTTATTTAAAAAGCCATTTGTTTTGTGTGTGTTTTTTTAAATATCTAATAATCTGTTTATAGTTTATTTGAACTCTTTTGTCATAGGCTGTCTGGTATTATGGATTTGTGAATTGTATGTGTGACATTGGCTTGCTTTACTGTAAAAGAAGTGTTAAATTTGAAGTTATCAGTGAAACTGCCAGTAAACAGCAACTGAAGCATATGATTATAGAGTGTCACAACCCTCACTTTAACCATTAACCCAGTCAAATCTTGTCACTCTGTTTCACTTCTTAGAACCAAACTTGTAATTCAGAGTCAGCAGCATGCAAGAATTTGACAACTGTGAACCAAGAAGCATCAATTTGGTGGGGTAAAGACAGGCCTGACTTGCTCTCTTTCACTGTGAGGCTTTGCAATATTAAAATATACAATCTTGTGTGTTTTTAAGAACTTTGAGGGCAACTTTTACATTTGAAAAGAGTGGAGTGGGTAGTAGAAAAGGACAGGGAATAGGAGGATGAGGTGAAGCGCAGAGGGGAAGAGCGGAAGAGGGAAAAGAGACGATGAGAAATAGCAGAGATGTAGGAAGAGGAGTGAAAAAGAGTGGTGCTTTGAAAGAGCAAGAGGAGAGGTGAGCAGAAGGGGAGTGTTGAGAGGGAGCAATGCTGAAGAGCCTCAAATGAGAGCTGCTCTAATTGATCATGTTATGAATCACGGTCTGTTTATGAAAGAGGCCGAATAGAGAGTTCAACCTAATGTGAGCAGATTTAAAGGGATAGTTCACCCAAAAAAAATGAAAATTCTGTCATTAATTACTCACCCTCATGTCATTCCAAACCTATACGACCTTTGTTCATCTTCGGAACACAAAAGAGAGATGTCAATGCCAATATTTCACAGTCTAGAAGTGTTTGATAGTGTTTATAAGAAGGCTGTAGTCCAATGATATTTGTAAATTATAGTGTAAATACTTTTCAAAAATTTGAGGCCAGTAATTGTTTTAATTTAATTAAATTATGAATTATTTTTAATTATTTCATTTAAATTATTTAATTATAAATAAATGTAATTTTTTTTTTTTTTGACAAGGATGCATTGAAGCTATAAAAAGTGACAGTAAAGAAATTTATAATGCTACAAAAGAGTTCTGTTTTGTCGTATAATGCATGGCAATGGTAACAAAATCTATGAGAGCAAAAAAAAAGCCAGAGCGCGTACACACCTCACGCACCGTATGCCGTGCGCGCACTGCAACGGCTGGAGTTAAAAATCATCAAATGTGTTCTACTGAAGAAACAAAGTCACCTACATCTTGGATGCCCTGGGGGTAAGCAGATAAACATAAAATTTTCATTTTTGGGTGAACTATCCCTTTAAGGGAATCACTGAAGAACACATAAAAGCACTCTTTTGCTGTAAAGTTGTATTGAAACACTAGGTGTCAGTGTGTATCCATTTGTATCCAACGAGATTTCATGTTCATGGACAGAGACGTATCTGTTATATGTTGTTTTATAGGCTATTCCGAGACAGATTTTCATTTTGTCCAAATCCAAATGCGTGATCATGTGACCTGTTTCATTCCAGTTTTAATTGCATATTTGGTAACACCATTTCTTTTAACAATTGAAAAGATGTAGTATTCTTCAGTTCTTGAAAAATAAATGATTGGATTCATCCTGAGAATAACTGACTCTTATTTATGTGAGCTCACATCTTGGCATTGGTCATAAAGAAAACTTGGATGTCGTCTTTTCTGCTAGCCCTGTCTGGTTTTGAAATTTGAAATTGATTGTTTTATCTGTGTTGTGTTCAAATTCAAAACCAGTTACAAAAAAGCTATATCCTGTAAATAAATTCTCCACCTGCAATTGATCATGTTCATTCATATCCACAACCACAGTCTAATGCATTTGTTAGAACACAAAGAAGTTTAATAAATAAGATTACATTCAAGTGAATCACAGCCTTATTGAGCTGCCGTGTGAACAATATTTACAGTATATTTCTACAAAATACTGATTAAGGAACACCGCTGGAACATCAAAACCACTGAAACATCACCAGAAAATGAAAATGTCCTCATCATTTACTCACCCTCAAATCCAAATCAGTATGACTTCTGGCTAACTAATCTCTGAGCTGCTCTTCTTCTATGAAGAAAGCACATTGTTGTCAGGCTTCATGAAAGCACCATAAAAGTCCATTCAAGCACAACACTACAGGAAACTCAAAAAAACTAGCCATGCAGTAGCTTTTAAGCTGTTATTTAATGTAACTCCTGTAGTCCCTGTGCATGGCTGCAAAAGAATATAACACCCAAGTTATTCTTTAAAAACCTTTAATCCCATGTGATCCTCAAATGGCGTGAAAATCAAATGGGTTTGGTTTGGGACAACACGAAAGTGAGTAAATTATCATTTTCATTATCATATTCTCTCTCTCTCTCTCTCTCTCTCTCTCTTTCTCTTTCTCTGTCTCACACACACACACACACACAGAGAGAGAGACATTCACATACATTAAGAAAAAGTGCTAATTCTGAATTAATATTTGTTTACTGTATAAAGTATGGTTCGTAACTTCATATGATACTAGGATAAAAGGTGCTGACTTGGCAAAAGTTAAGACATAGTCAACAGATCATATGCTGTATTTCATTACAGTGTATTTATCTGATCTCCCTGTTAAAATTCTGAAATGACCAGGGGCTTTTTGGTTATTCAGATATTCACTATATTTGTCCTGAATGCTTGATCTGAAAACATAAAGCCTGAAATTATAACCGACTTTTTGTTTTTATCAGATTTCAAACTATTTGATGGAGTTTTAAAATTTGGCAGGAGAAACATAACTCACACAAGCGTCATACAATCCTTATTTCTGTGAGGATTCTCCATCCATCATCCCTCCATTACCTCCACTTTTATTTATACATACTTGAAACAGACTTCAGTTCATCCAACAACAAACAAATATTTGCCATTGTGAGAACTGTATTTTTTGCTTTTGTTTTAGACTAAGGAATTACAGAATGCACGTTTGGAATGATGTGAGGGTGAATAAATTATATAAATAATATAATAAATACTTTAAAAGGAATAGTTCACCCAAAAACGAAAATTTGCACGAACTTTACTCTCCCTCAGATGATCAAAGATGTTGATGAGTGGACTGGAGTGGTGTGGATTATTGTGATGTTTTTAGCTGTTTGGACTTTCATTCTGATGGCACCCATTCACCCATTGGTGAGCAAGTGACATAATGCTAAATTTCTCCAAATCTATTCCAATGAAGAAACAAGCTCATCTACATCTTGGATGGCCTGAAGGTGAGTAAATTTTCAGCAAATATTTTCTTTTTGGGTGAACTGTTCCTTTAGACGTACACATGTAAATGACTCCCATGGCCCTACAGAGAATAAGCAGTTTGGAGAAGAGATGGATATAAATACCTCTTGTATCAAAGACAGCTACAGGTCAAGCATTACTTTTGTAAAGATACAGATTTTAAGCTGTAAAAATCATA